AATTTTTCTTTCAAATACAGTAAAAATATTTTTGTGTTTTTAAGCATAAATCTAGCCCATTTTACAGAGGTTTGTACTTAAAACAACATAACACTATTTGATAATGTGATAAGAAAAACAAACTACATTCAAGCTATATTGTCTAAAAACAAAAAGAAAAAAAGACCAAAAATACTGATAAACAATACATTTTGCAGTGTACAAGAACTGCTATTTCTAAATATTACACGCCTCAATATTATACAACATTTGTGGCTCTTCCTTTGCAGGGAGCTGGAGTTGCCATCTGTGTCTGCGCCAGCTAAAGGAAAAAGCGTCCGCCTACATCACACTAACCTAATCTCCGTGCCCTACTTCACCCTAGCAGTCTCATCCTACTCTATCCCATCATCACAGATCCAAAGAGACTCCCCCAACATCCACCAGAAGAGAACATGTTTCATCTGCCCATTGCCTGTATGGTGACTGCAAGGAAAACGTAGGGTGCGACTAACATTTTTGTATGTCAATTGGGACTCGAGCAGACCTTTCCTTAACAGTCCCCCAAAGAGTTGTTTCCTTCATGGATCAGAGAGGTCTTCTTCTTGCCTGGCTCGATCTTATGGTGGTTAAACAAGTAGTGCCAAACGGTTTGTCGCTGAGGAGACATTTTGCACGAGTCTAAGGGGGGCGTGTCAGTGGGAGGAGTCTTTGTGACATTAGATGACGCACCAACGCAGTTGAGACAAGAGCCACATGATCTCACCACAGCTTTTGGTTGGTTTAGCTCTGGTGAGAGATGGTATCAGTGTGCCATTGATTCTTAGCAGTATATTCTTCAGAAGCAGACACCAGCACGTAATGAGATCATGTTTAGTCATTCAGTTTGGCCTTATTCTAGCTGTAATTAGACTTCTGTTGAAGAGATGAATGAATTCTTCAATAATTAATATCCCTTGAAGGTACAACTTTTTGGTTCTTGCAACACAAATCTGTATTAAAAGGAATACACCTGGTTTGATACAAGTTCATCTACAACACTTGTGGAGTAATGTTGATTACCACAAAACTTGTCACTTATTTTCTTTAAAAAAATCCAAAACTCGTAGTTACAGTGAGGGAAAGTTTGGGATCTGTGGGACCCAACACAATCTTATTTCATAATAAAATAAAAAAAAAATAATATATATATATATATAGTGGGGAAAAATATTTATTTGATCCCCTACTGATTTTGTCAGTTTGCCCACTTACAAAGAAATGAAGGGTCTGTAATTTTTATGGTAGGTTTATTTTAA